AGGTGAGTGGATTGTCTGAGCCTGTGGGTTCGAGATCCACCTGGGCAACTTGGCGAGACCTCATCTCTACAATAAATCAAAAAAAATTAGCTGGGCGTGGTAGCACACACCTGTAGTTCCAGCTACTTGGAAGGCTGAGGTGGAAGGATCGTTGGAGCCCAGCAGGTCGAGGCTGTAGTGGCCGGGAGCATGCCACTGCACTCCAGTCTGGGCAACAGAGTGAGACTCCAACTCAGAAAAAAAGAAAGAAAAAACAAGCACACTCTGTGTCTGCACGCCCATGTTCCTAGCGGCACTGTTCACAAGAGGCAAAAGGCGGAGGGACCCCAGTGCCCAGTGACAGAGTGGGATGGACAAATGTGGTCTCTCCACACAATGGGACATCATCTAGCCTAAACAGGAAGGAGGTTCTGACCCATGCAACAACACAGAGGAGCCACACAGAGTGAAATAAGCCAGCCACCTAGAGGTCAACACTGTATGTCCCATGCTGCAAGGTTCTTAGAGTCATCAAGTCCACAGACAGAACACGGCATGGCGGGTACGGGGCTGGCAAGGGGAGACTGGGGAGCTGTTTTATGGGTGCAGAGCTTCAGCTTTACAAGATGAAATGTTCTGGAGGTGACGGCTGCACAGCGACGTGAATGTCCCCAAAGCCACTTGTCAAAAAACAAAATTACTGCAAATTCAGCTTAAAGACCTAACTGGCCTTGGTTTACAATTCTGGAATCAGGCAACATCTCATTTTATAAAACAGAACGAGAGTTTCGATGAGCTGGGTGGAGGAGGCTGGCCTCACAGGCAGAAAAGGGTTAATGAAACAGGAACAGAGAAAAGGAGTCCAGGCTGGCCGTGCTCGGCACTGTTGTGCAGGGCTGTAGCAGAGGGTGCTTCCTCACCGCATCTCGACTCAGGCTGCCTGGCTTTCCTGCTTTTGGGCAAACTGCCCGCTCTGAAGATCAGTCTGAGTACGTAGCACCCAGTGCCAGGGACTCCATCCTTGTCCGCTCTGGTCTCTGGGGCCTTGGACAAGAGGTGGTCCTTACAGTGGCCTCCTGAACATCCTGTGTAACATAGTCATGCTGGTAAGTTTTGTAGCATGTGCACCGGGCAGGAGCATAGGTGGTAAGATGGCCGCTGCGGGGGAAGGTGGCCAGGAGGTCTGGGCTGGAATGGACTCCCCCAAAGGTTTCTCCTGGGGTCTTCAAGAAGAAACAAGCCCACGCCATTCCCTGTCACCCCTCCTTGCTTCAGGGTCACACAGCACTTATACTGTTTGGATTAGAGTGTGTATTCGTGGTCTACTTGTGGAACAAATTGTGGCACATTCCCCAATTTCCTGCTCTCTTCTCCTAAGGTGATAAAGGGAATAGCTGAGCAGGGACCTGCTGAGCGTGGCAAATTCCATTTTCCAGCCTTCCTTGCAGCTCTGCGGGCCACAAACCAGGACATGGAACAAAGGCAAGGTGAGTGGGAGACTTCCAGGTCTTTCCTTACAGGGAAAGCACAGAGTGTCACTTGCCATTTCCCCTTCCTGTGGGCTGGGACTGTGTCCTGGTGGCTGGAGCAGCGACTTGGGCCATCTAGGTGAGGGTGACCTTAGGGACAGCCACCTCCCCTCCTCTCCAGCCTGCTCCACACGCCATGAAACTTACCAGTGTGACCATGTTTGAATGTACAGTGTGTTACACAGTGTGTCTGGGAGGCACTGGTTTGGACCAATTCCTGTCTTAGGCCCGGGTCCTTCACACTAAAGAGCTGCCTCCAGACTATCATGCAAGAGAGGAGAAGATTCCTATCTATCCTGTTACATCAGCCAAACCTAGACCCTTGCTGACATAACCAGTGCCGTGTCTGTCTCCCCTGTAGGACAGAAGCAGGTACCTGGTCCGTCTTCTTCACCAACAAATCCCCAACACCTAGAGCCATGCCTGGGATTGAGCAGGTGCTCAATAGGGACCTAGGTGCCAGGAGCTCACAGTGTGTTCCATGCAGAATGCATTTATTAAGCAGCTCCTGGGTCCTGAGAGAGAGGAGTAAGAGCCAGGCTAGGGGTCTCATACCCACGCTTCTGCCATCTTCTAACTAATACCACATCACAGCAGAGAAAGTAAAAAAGATTGAATCAATTCCTGGAAGGTGAGGGACTGATTAGGCATTTACGGGGAAGAAGTTTGATCTTACTGCTTACATGAATTATTTTTAAAATCCAGATGGAGGAAACCCCTTCGGGGCCCCTCCCACTGTGGGAGCTTTTCTGTCCTCTCAGTAAATCCTGCTTTAAATAAATAAATAAAAACCAGATAAGTCAAGCACTCAAAGGCAAAATTAAACCTTCACAATAACAGAGGAAAACACGCAATTAAAAGAAAAACAATTACAGCCCGTGGAAGGCTATTCTAAGTCAAACATAAGTCCCAGAAGTCACAAAAGAAATTGACACAAACAAATTTAAAAATTTCTAAAAAATTATTAACAACCTAAGGAAATGACAACCTGGAGAAATATATTT